TGTACTTTGGAAATTTATATTCATTAAATAAAAGTTAAAAAAAAGAAAGAAAGAAAGACAAATACCACATGTTCTCCTTAAATTTAAAATTTTTAAGTTAAATTAAAAGCTAAAAATAAAAAAATAAAAAAAAGAGTAAAGGATGGAAAAGGATATCCTATGCTAACAGAAATCAAAAAAGGAACTGGCATAGTCATCCTAAGATAAACTTATTAAGAAGAACAGAATAGACTTTAACACAAACTGTTAAAAGAGACAAAGAAGGGAACTATGTAATGATTAAGGAATCAATTCAACAGGGAGATATGACTATAATAAACATATATGTACCTTATTACAGGGCACCTCACTATTTAAAAGAAATGTTAATAGATCTAAAGGGAGATATAGACTCTAATACAATAGTAATGGAAGATTTCAGCACCACATTTTCAGCAATGGACAGATTAATGAGACAGAAAAACAGCAAGGAAATAACAGAGTTAAGCAACATTATAGACCAAATGGACATAACAGATATCTACAATACTCTAGCCTACAGCTGCAGAATACACATTCTTCTCACCAGTGCATGGAACTTTCTCTAGGATTGACCACATGCTAGGCCATAATGCAAATCTCAGCAAATTCAAAAACATTGAAATCATACCATATATCTTCTCAGACCACAATGGAATGAACTGGAAATTAACAAGTCAAGAATCTCAAGATTGTATGCAAACACATGGAAACTTAACAACATGCTCCTGAATGAACAGTGGGTCATAGAAGAGCTAAAAATAAAAAAAAAATTTGAAACAAATGAAGACAACAATACAACATATCAAACTTTGGGATACAGCAAAAGCAGTGTTAAGGGGAAAGTTTATAGCAATTGGTGCCTACATCAAGAAATTGAAAAGGCACCAAATAAATGAATGATCAATGCATCTCAAAGACCTAGAAAAACAACAGCAAACAAAACCCAAAATTAGTAGGAGAAAAGAAATAATTAAAATAGAGAATAAATAAACAAAATTAAAATCAATAAATAGTACAGAAGATCAGCGAAATGATGAGCTGGCTTTTTGAAAAAATATACAAAATTGACACACCATTGGTCCAACTAACCCAAAAAAGGAGGCAAAATTCCTAAATCAATAAAATTAGAGATGAAAAAAGAAATGTAACAGCAGACAAAACAGAAATTAAAAGAATCATCAGATTCTTTGTTGTGTATGCCAACAAATCAGTAAACCTAGAAGAAATGGATAGATTCCTGGACATATACAACCTATCTAAATTGAGCCATGAAGCATAGAAAATCTAAACAGACCCATAACCAAGACAGAAATTGAATCAGTAATAATACTAGCCAACTGAATCCAACAAGATATCAGAAAGATCATTCACTCAGAGCAAATGGCATTTATCTCTGGTATGCAGGGATGGTTCAGCATTTGCAAATCTATCAATGTGATACATCACATTAAAAATTGAAGATAAAAAATCATGATTATCTTCCCAAAGGGACAAACATCATATGTTCTCCCTGATCGGTGACAACTAACCAAGCACCAAAAAGGAAACCTGTTGAAGTGAAATGGACACTATGAGAAATAGTGACTTGATCAGCCCTTGTCCTGACTGTTGATGTACAATTTAATACTTTATCTCTTTTAGTATTTTTTTTGTTCTACTTAATACTATTGGTTGAACTCTGTAATTAGCACACAATTATTCTTAGGTTTCTAAATTTAACTGAAAAGTGATCCCTGTTAAATATAAGAGTGGGAATAAGAGAGGGAGGAGATGTACAATTTCGGACATACTCAAACGGACTTGCCCCAAATGGTGGAGTTAGAAATGTGCCAGGGGATTCCAATACAATCCCATCAAGGTGGCATGTACCAATGCCATCTCACTAGTCCAAGTGAACAATTTCAGTTCACAATTGATCATCCTCATAGGTCTAAGAATCAAAGGGATCACACAAACAGGACTAGTGTCTGCTAATACTAACTGATACAGTAAAAAAGGGAGAGAACGATCCAACATGGGAAGCGGATACACAGCAGACTCATAGAATGGCAGATGTCCTAAACAGCAGTCTGGGCTCAGAAGCAGCCCTTAAGGCATTCGGATCTGGTTGAAGAGCCATGAGAGTATTTTAGGCATGGAAAGCCAAGACACTCTGGCAAAAAAAAAAAAAAAAACAAAAAAACAAAAAAAAAACACAAACCCTAAATGAAAGATCTCTGTGAGTGAGATCCCAGTAGAAAGAACAGGTCATCAAAAAAGGAGGTACCTTTCTCTGAAGGGAGGAGAGAACTTCCACTTTGACTATGACCCTGTCGGAATAAGATCGAAGTCAGAGAACTCAAAAGGCTTCCTTAGCCTTGGCAACTCATGACTAGAGCCTAGGGAGATTACTGACGCCATAAACAAGAGTGTCAAATTGTTAAGTCAACAACAGGAGTCACTGTGTACTTACTTCTCATGTAGGATCTCTGTCCTTGATGTGTTGTTCAATGTGAATTAATGCTATAACTAGTACTGAAACAGTATTTTACACTTTATGTTCTGTGTGGGTGCAAACTGATGAAATCTTTACTTAATATATACTAAATTGATCTTCTGCATATAAAGATAATTGAAAATGAATCTTGATGTGAATGGAATGGGAGAGGGAGCGGGAGATGGGAGGGGTGCGAGTGGGAGGGAAGTTATGGCGGAAGGGAAAGCCATTGTAATCCATAAACTGTACTTTGGAAATTTATATTTACCAAATAAAAGTTAAAAAAATAACAAAAATAAAGAGTAAGCATTTTAATGCTGTTAGCACTAAGCAAAGTACAAGAAATGGCACCCATATGGGATGCTGGCATTGCAGGTGGCATTACCCACTGTGCCACAGAGCCAGCCCTAGAAAATTACCATTTTGAAAAAACTGAATTAAATTTTTTTCATTGAAATAAATTCATTAACTGGTTATAAAGATGTCCGAACAGGACCTAGTTTGAGGCACTAACTAGGCTAAGACATAAGTTTCAAAGAGTCCTTGTTAGAGAAACATGAATTCTCTTAAAATTGGAACAAGAACAAGCCTCAGCTTTATGGTGGAGAAAGTGTGGTGAAATCATTGATGGCTTATGAAAGTTTATGGGGTCAATGCCTCACAGAAATCAGTAGTTTACAAATTGATAACTAATTTTTCCAACATCATGCTGGATGATGTTGGAAAATAAAGCCTGAAGCAGTAGAACATTCACAGCAATTTGCAAAGAAAAATTAATCTTGTTCATTACCTAATTTGAGAGGACTTCCAGTTAACTGCTGACACAATAGCCATTCCCTAGACATCTCAGTGGGTTTAGCTTACAAATTCTGATTGAAAAATTAAAAGCAGAGTAAACTTGCTGCTCAATTAGTGCTAAAACTGTTGTGATTGGAATCACTGAAGACAAAAGCAGAAGTTTTGATGGAAATTTAATGAATTAGATCAAGGTGGTGAAGCATTTCTTGGAAAAGTTTAACAGGAAGGGAAACATGGCTTTCCCAGTATGGTCCTGAAGACAAAGAGGTGGGAGTAGTCCAGATAGAGCCGAAGTGGACTGGTAAGAGCAAATGTCAACACAACAGGTTTTTAGGATGCTCAAGGCATTTTGTTTGTTAACCTTCAGGAGGGCCAAAGAATGATAACATGTGCTTATTAGGAGATGGTTTTGAGAAAGTTAGCCAAAGCTATAGCAAGAAGATGCCTTGGAAAGTTCCACCAAAGAGTCCTCTCTACTACAACCATGCAGTCGCTCAATCCTCTCATCAAAAAGGGCAATTGTGCAAAAGTTTTTTTCTGGAAAATCACAGGGCACCCAACTTATAATACGTATTTGTCTCCTTCTGACTTTTTTTGTTCCATAATTCAAAAAAATCTTGATAAGGCACCCAGTTTTCTTCAGGGAGTAACGTAAAATATATTATATTAACATGGTTAAATTTCCAGGAACTTTAGTTCGTGTGGATGAAATAAATGGCTTGTAATATTGCATATCAAAGTGTTTTTACTTTATGGAACTTATGTTGAGAAATTAAGTTTACATTTTTAATTTTTATCTTTAATTTTTAATCAAGCTCTTTAAATTACCATCATCTAGGTTTACAACTACACAAGAGACCAAGTTGCTGCTCTTGTTGGGTTGACTTTCTAGTAGAGCAATAAAGCAAAAAAAAAAAAAAAAAAAAAAAGAAACTAACTCATTTAAGATTGTGCTAATTATAAGAAAGGAAGTGATGGAAAGACCCAAGGAAAAATATTTTAGGTAAAGAGAAAGTCAAGTCTGAAGGCTCTGAGGTGAGAATGTGCTTGGAAAATAAGAAATTAGTTGAATAAGTAAATGATGTCAAGAAAACTAAGCAGCAGAGAAGTGATTTGCCCATGATGATTGACAGGTGATGGAACTGAGATCCTCTGAGTTGCCTGACACTCTTTCCTGTGAACTACACTGCTTTCACATTTAGGCAAATGGATAGGCTTAGCAAGAGCATGTGTGATTACTGAAAATAAAGTAAAATGTGGAACTCAATAAAGCACAGATATTTTTTAAAACAAACTACAAATTTCTGACTCAGACTAAGTGTACAATGAATTTTAAGAAGTTTAAATGAAGCAAGGAAAATTTGAAGATATGTATTTCTTACCTAGTGTGTGGTAGATACTGTGGTGAATGACTAGGACATGATTCCTGCTCTTGGGATTTACATTTTTCATGAAAGTGATTATCTAGATAGTTTGAGAATTTTATCACTAACTTTAAGTTAACAGAAATTTATATGGCAGGTGTTATTATAAACCATTTGGCCTAGTACAGGTATCAAGAAATTGTTAATATTCTGTAACTTTTTTGTTCTTATAAAATTATATTTTGTCTTTATAAAAAGTTATCCTTTTAGTTTGTCAAGTGTTTGCACTTTATTGTCTTGTTCTTTTCTCTCTCTCTCTCTCTCTCTTTTTCATTTATTAGGCAGTTGACATTGGAGAGAGTATAGCCATTCCAGATGAATTTACTGAACAAGAAAAGCAGTCTGGAGATTGGTGGAAGCGTTTGGTGGCAGCAGGAATAGCTAGTGCCGTCGCAAGGACATGCACAGCACCTTTTGACCGCTTGAAAGTCATGATGCAGGTAGTTGGCGCATCTTACCCAGCCTGTAAGAGTTGAAGTAACTGGAAAAGCCCTTGAATACTATCTTAAACATTTTGGCACATTTCATATGACTTTTCATTACAGTTTTATATATTTTTAATTGTAAATTTTTAAATTTTCAATATTTAAATGATTCCTTAATTTTATTAAAGATACTGCTATGTAATTCAAATTAATTTTTCTTTGGAATATTAATAAAACCACCCTGTTAGTAATGGTTTTTCAGAAATAAATCCATGAGTGAAGTATAAAGAATCATGTATGATAAGTTATAGTATATAGTATATAATATATTGTCCAGTTACCTTTATGTCAATGAGTAATAGATTGTCAGTAGTAGTTTTAAATAGTGTATGGCTTAATAAAATCCATAATTAAAATTTAATAATTGCTGAATACTTTTTTTTAAAGATTTATTTATTTATTTGAAAGTCAGAGTTACACAGAGAGGAGAGGCAGAGACAGAGAGAGAGAGAGAGGTCTTCTGTCCAATGGTCCACTCCCCAGATGGCCGCAATGGCCGGAACTGTGCCAATCCAAAGCCGGGAGCCAGGAGCTTCTTCCAGGTCTCCCACATGGGTGCAGGGGCCCAGGGAGTTGGGCCATCCTGCGCTGTTTCCTATGCCATAGCAGAAAGCTAGATAAGAAGTGGAGCAGCTGGGACTAGAACCGGCACCATATGGGATGCTGGCGCTTCAGGCCAGGGTGTTAACTGGCTGCGCCACAGCGGCGGCTCCGCTGAATACTTTCTTTACACAGATATAAAAATCAGTAATCCACAATCTAGTTTAAATTTGTAATTAAACTTGCATATCTGAGTGTTTGTCTTTTTTGGGGTAATATTGGTGACATTTTGGTCATGGATTGTGAAGTTATTATTATAAAATATAAATAAATTGTGTAAAACTTGTAATGCTTATTTAGTTAAAGCTTATTATATATTAGATACTTTAATAGGAATTAGAGGCTACAGCAGTTACATTAGTTATAATTTTTGCCTTTAGAGAATTTAGAGTATAATCAGGAAAATATAAAATTATGTATGTAATAAAATGTGATATACGTGCTGTGTACCCAGACAGAAGATACACATAACACTATAGGAATGTTCAGAGAAAGTAAATGCTGTTTCTTCTTGGCTTATTATTTCTCACATAAATATTTAGTGATGTCTTGGCTAAGGCTTTGTGTAGGGAATATACTTTAAATGACATAAGATAGTAAAACACCCCATCATCCTTCTGCATGTTTGATTTTGTGTGTGGCCTGTGTTCCATTCAGTCAGGGGTATAAATTCAACCAGTTGTTAGGAAACATCAGGAGTGGAAAATCTTCTGTTGTGGGTAGAAACAGAAAAATTCAGCTTCCACAGTAACTGGATCTGTAAAAAATAAAAATGAGTTGTAAAGGAAAAAACATGAATATAGTACAGGGCTACACAGAGATGGAGACATACAGGAAGGGAAGAAGGATGGGGAGGGAATCAAGAGGAAAAATAAAGAAGATGTATTTGTTGTGTGCTCATCATTTGCTAGCTGCTAGAAATGCAAAGATGCAAAGCATATGTGTTATACACTAGGATCTTATAGACATAAGCAATCTATATGTGTGATGATGGTGAAGGTGATATTGACAACAATTATCCCTTATGTGTACTTGCTGTGCACAAGACAGAAAGGCATATGTGGATATTGTAGGGATAGGTAGGGGCTCTCCAAGGGGATGAAAATGGGTCAGTGGATTAGGAGAGTGAAAATGAATGGAGTAAATAGCAGAACATGGAAAGAGTGAAAAGAGAAAGGAATCAGGGACTGGATAGGAAGAGGAAGAGGTGGGAGACAGAAAAGGAAAGGAACTAGAGAAGAAATAGGAAAAAAAGGAAGGTGATAGAAGAAAGATAAGTGAGAAATGGGGAGAGAATAATAATGTAATGAGAGGCAAGAGGAAGGAAAGAAAGGAGGGAGTCTCTGTCCTTTAATGCTATTGGATCTCATTCCTTTCAGTTATACACATATTTTACACTGAGTAGGTTAACTAGATCTTATCCTCTTTATTAATGGAGGTATTACTGTTGAGTCTCACACAACTGAGAGGAGTATTATGAAGTACATGTGTGTTGTAAGACCAGAGGTTATTTTACGCAAATGAAGAGTCAGAGAGCCCTGGGTTTGAATTTAAGCTTTGCTACTTTATGTCCACGGGTCACTCCCAGTTAGGTCCATCTTCCCAGGAGATCATCATACAGGGTTATTTTAAGAATTAAACTTAGGCCGGCGCCCCGACGCCGTGGCTCACTTGGTTAACCTTCCACCTGCGGTGCCAGCATCCCATATGGGCGCCGGGTTCTGGTCCCGGTTGCTCCTCTTCCAGTCCAGCTCTCTGCTGTGGTCCGGGAGGGCAGTGGAGGATGGCCCAGGTTTTGGGCTCCTGCACCCGCATCGGAGACCAAGAAGAAGCACCTGGCTCCTGGCTTTGGATAGGCTCAGTGCCAGCAGTAGCGGCCATTTGGGGAGTGAACCAATGGAAGGGAGACTTTCTTTCTGTCTCTCTCTCGCTGTCTAGAACTCTACTTGTCAAATAAAAAAAAAGAATTAAATTTAATGTTATAAAGTGCTTAGCATAATTCTGGCATCTAGTGAATGCTCAAAAATTGAGTGTGCTGTGGTTTTGGTAGAAATAAGATGAATAAATAACATTGTTACTCTTTTATCAAAGTCGCATTAAAGTTTCTATAGTTATTTGCTTGAGATTTCATACATTGTATTTTTAGAACACAATGAATATATATGCCAGCTGAGAAAAATCTGGAAAATAGAAAAGCTGAAAGCCAAAACGTTGTCTATCCTCTCATCACCCAAAATCATCATTATTAACACTTCAGTGAATTACTTTTTAGACTTTTGTAAAGGCATTTTTTACAGAGTAGCAATTACTTTTTGTTATTTTTATGATTGACAATATAACCTGAACATATTTTTATAGTTACTTCATGTTCTTCAACTAGAGTTTTTAATGACGATGCAATATTTATTTGTTTTCTCAATTTTTCTTATTGCTAGACATGCAGGTGGTTTTTAATACTCCTCTTTTAAAAATAATTATTCATAATTTTATGATGGAGATCTCTTTTTATGACTCTTTTTGTACTTGTAGAGAAAAATTCCTAGAAATTTGCCTAGTGGTATGAACATTTTAAATAATGATATAAATATTTTAAAGTAATGATATGGACATTTCTGCTTTCACATGTGAAGATGAGGGCATTTTCAAAATATGGAAACTAGAGTTAAAGATAAGTTTAACTTGCTACAAAAATTTTTTGAGGGTTAGCGTTTTTGTGCAGTGGGTTAAACCACCACCTAGCCTATGAGGATTCCAGTGTCCCATATGAGCACAAGTTTGAGTCTGGGCTGCTCCACTTCAATCCAGCTCCCTGCCAATGAACATGGGAAGGCAGCGAAGATGACCTGTGTGGTTGGACCTCTACCACCCATGTGGAAGAAGCGAATGGACTTCTATGCTTCTAGCTTTGGTCTGGCCCAGCCCTGGCTATTGCAGCCATTTGGGGAGTGAAGCAGCAGTTGGGAGAGAGCTATTGCTCTCTCTCTAACTCTGCCTTTCAGATAAATAAGTTTTAAAATTTGAAATCCATCCATATGAGGAGTCTTTAAGAAGTTTATGGAAAATGGGTATTATGAAAAACCTATGCATGAGTTTCAAAATTTTATGCACTAATAAACTTATCTATTTCATTTTCCCACAAACTTTAAAAAAGCTTTTCATTTATTTGAAAAGCAGTGTTATAGAGAGAGGGGCAGAGACAGAGATCTTCCATTTGCTGGCCCCTCCCCACATGGCTGCAAAGGCCAGGGCTGGACCAGACTGAAGCCAGTTGCCTGGAACTCCATCCCTGTCTCCTACATGGGCAGCAGGGACCCCAGTACTTGACCATATTCCACTTCCTTCCCAGGCACATTAGCAGGGAACTGGATCAGAAGTGGAGCAACTGGGACTTGAACCAGTGCTCATATGGGATGCTAGCATTGCAGATGGCAGCTAAACCTGCTATACCACAATTCTGGTCCCTCCACAGAATTTTTGTAGTACTTTCATATGTATTGGTAAGTTATTTTCCAGATTTGTTCTACCTATATGAGATGAGAATGGCTATTTTGCCTTGCTCTCTCATTATCATCTTTTTATATTACTGACAGGGAATATTTTATTAATGGTTTGATTTTTTACTTTCTTAAAACAACATTTTCCTTATCAAAAATAATATGTTAAGAAAATGAGAGAACATAGATAGCTTACAGGATGACATTAGTTGTTTGTGGAACCTTTGTGTACTAGTTTGCTATAACAAAACCAAAACTGGATTAAATAACAGAAATCTACTGTGTTGCAGTTCTGAAGGCTACAAGTCTGAAATGAAGGTGTTGGTGAATTAGTTCCTTCTGAGGGCAGTATGGGATAATCCATTTCCAGTCTCTCTCCTTGACGTGGCAATTTCCTCTATATGTCTCTTCACGTTGTCTTCCCTTTGTGTATGTCATGTCCTTGTGTCCAAATTTCTTCATTTTTATGAGGATGCCTGTCAGATCAGGGCCCACCCTAAAGACCTCACTTGAACTTGTTGGCCTCTATTAAGACCCTTTCTCCAAAGAATGTTGTATTCTGAACAATGAGGTTTAGGAAGTCAATGTATCAATTTTGGATGACAAAACCTAGGAGAATCCACTGTTGAAAATTTGTTGTATTTTCATCCCTTCTTTTTTTAGTGCATATTTCAATGCACTTTTTAATAATCATGTCTTATTTTGTTAGCAACAACACAAATCCTTTACGCTGAAATTCTCTGATAATTAAGATATTTTTTCTTCCTTATTTTATTCTTCAGTGGTTTAGATTACAGTGTTCCCCCCATATCTGTGGAAGACCCTCAGTAGATTCTTGAAACCAGAGACAGTACTGAATCCTAAACATATTGTGTTTCTTCCTATATATACATTTGTGCCTACAATGAACTTTATTGTAAAAATTAGGGACAGTAGGAAATTATCAGCAATAGCTAATAATAAAAGTGAACAATTATAACAATATCCTGTAATATAAGTTATGTGACTTTTACCTTTTCATGTAAAGAAGCACTTTATAATTTCTGTTTGTCATATTCTGATTTGCAACATCACTCTGCTTGAGTTTTGGAGCCATTATTTTGTAAAATAAGGCTTTTTTTTAGTGATTTGATATTTTTTATTTTTTAAACTTTTATTTAATAAATATAAATTTCCAAAGTACAGCTTTTGGATTACTGTGGCTTTTTCCCCTCATAACCTCCCTCCTACCTGCAACCATCCCATCACATCCCATTCACATCAAGATTCATTTTCAATTATCTTTATATACAGAAGATCAATTTAGTATTCAATTTAGTATACACTAAGTAAAGATTTCAACAGTTTGCACCCACACAGATATACAAAGTATAAAGTACTGTTTGAGTTCTAGTTATACTGTTAATTCACATAGTACAACACATTGAGGACAGAGATCCTACATGGGGAGTAAGTGCAACAGTGACTCCTGTTGATTTAACAATTGACACTCTTATTTATGGCGTCAATAATCACCCGAGGCTCTTGTCATGAGTTGCTAAGGCTATGGAAGCCTTTTGAGTTCACCAGCTCTGATCTTATTTAGACAAGGCCGTAGTCACAGTGGAAGTTCTCTCCTCCCAAAATAAGGCTTATTTGAACACATATCCTGCAATGCCATGACGGTTGGTCTGATAACTACTGCTAAGTGACCAAGGGACAAGTAGAGGTGTGAATATGTTGGCCAGAGTTTATTCACATCCAGGGCAAGATGGAGGGGGATGGTTGAGATTTTATCTCACTATTCAGAATGCTGTGCAATTTAAAACTTATGAATTGCCTATTTCTGAAATTTTCTATGTAATATTTTTAAACTGGAAACTGTAGAAAGCAAGCTTGCAGAAAGCAAAGGTGCAAATAACAGAGGACTACTGTAACTTTTAAGTATGTATTTGGGGACAAGAGCAAAATTAATGTATTAATTTTATATGTTTCTGAAGGAAAATGAAGATGATGTTGAAAATCATGGATTTATACATTGAGTCTAATTGTTTCATTAGAAATAGCAAAACCTATGCTCTATTGCCTGGAAAATAAATTGATAAAACATTCAATCTGCTATTTGTTTCTAGGTTCAAAGTTTAAAGACAAGGAGAATGAAATTGATTAGTGGATTTGAGCAGATGGTAAAAGAGGGAGGTATTCTTTCTCTTTGGCGAGGAAATGGTGTAAATGTTTTTAAAATTGCACCAGAGACAGCAATCAAGATTGGGGCCTATGAGCAGGTAAACTGTTATTGACTGTGGAATTTGAAATGAAGATCAAGATTTAAAATTTCTATTAAAAATGAACATTTTTAATAAAAACCTAAATATTTCTTTGATGAAAACTAGACTGTACAAGCAATAGTTATCAATGCAAATATTAATGACTTTGCTTATTCATATTATCTTTGCATTTTCATACTGCTGTTGTTTACAAGAGAAGTTCTGTGGATTATTATGTATGATGTCTATTAGTAATTTTCATTTCAACCCCTCACCAAAATTTCATAATTATTTTTCCTTTGAATAATATGAATGTTTTATGGAGTTTTCAGTATATTAATTAATGATTAGAGGGTCAACCTCTAAATTTAGTCAAATGATTAACAGATGAAATATGTACTGAATTTTAAAATTTGTTAATCTTTAGGATTTTACTTTTGCTAAAATAATTCATTTTAGGATGGGATATATATTTTCAAATACGAGGGCACTTCTAAAAGATAATAGAAAAATAGCATTAATATGAGTTTATTTTGATTCTTTGTGTTTCCGTATTTTCCAGCCTCACTGCAAATCTTAATTCTGCAAATCTTAATTCTCTATTATTTATACTTTTTGTAGCAGCAAAGTGCTTTTTTGGACCTTGTTCACTATGTTATAGAACCTCAAAGTTTTAGCAAAATACAAAAGATTGATAGTATCCTTTCTTAAGCAGTTGAAAAGCAAACAGATAAATAGTACATTGGACTGGGTAGTAATGCACATATTAAAAACCTATCACTTGGGGCTAGCTCTGTGGCACAGCAGGTTAAGTTGCAGCCTACAGCACTTGTATCCCATGTGGGTGCCAGTTTGAGCCCCTGGTGCTCCAATTCTGATCCCTGCTAATGCACCTGGGAAAGCAGCAGACGATGGCCCAAGTTCTGGGCCTCTGCCACACACATTGGAGTGCCCAAAAGAAGCTCCTGGTTCCTGGATTCAGCCTGGCCCAGCACTGGCCTTTGTGGCCATTTGCAAAATGAACTAGTGAAGACCTCTCTCTCTCTGTCTCCCTCTCTCCTATCACTCTCACTCTGCCTTTCAGATAAATAAATCTTTTTTTAAAAAAAGAAAAAAACATATATCTTACTTAAATAAAGATGTGCTTACTCATTCAACAAGTATTTCTTTCAACAATAAATGTTTCTTGAGTGTCTCATATGTTTTAGACACTTTCTAGGTGATGGACATGTCACAGTAGATAAAACAAAACAGAAAACAGAACCAAGTGACCAACCAAAGAGAAACTCCACTTGCTTCTGTGGAATTTAAATTGGACAACAGGTTGGAGTCTACAAAGAAATATATATGGCATATCAGATCACAACAGCTGTGAGGGAAATAGAGGATGGAAATGAAGATAAAACTGACAACTCTTTTTAAAAAATTTTATTAATATAAAGAGAACAGATTTCATGTATTTCCCACGTAGACTTCTAAGAGGATTATCATACTTCCTACCTTCCTTTTCTCCCACCCTCAATCCCCTTCCATCCTTTTTTTCTTTTTTCTTTATCTTTTACAAAAATAATTTCAATCTACTATGTAATCACAGACTTGATGCACTACTAACCATAATATTCAACAAGTAAAAGTAGGAAGGCCACTGTTTGAAGAAGCATAAACAAGGACTACAACCACCAATCAAATCACAAGATGTCCACTTCATTCCTATGTATTTTTTGTATTTTATATTAGCTACCACATATCAGAGAAAACATATTTGTCTGTTTGAGACTGGCTTATTTTACTGAGCATAATGGTTTCCAGTTGCATCTATTTTGTTGCAAAAGATTCTTTTTTATGGCTGAGTAGCATTCCATAGTACGTGTGTGTGTGTGTGTGTGTGTGTACTGCATTTTCTTTATCCAGTCGTCAGTTGATGGATATCTGGGTTGATTCTATGTCTTAGTTATTGTGAATTGAGCTACAATAAACATATGCTGCTTTCATATCATTTGGGTAAATTCCCAGGAGTGGGATGACCAGGTCATATAGTAGATCTATTTTCAGATTTCTCAGGAATATCTGTACTGTCTTCCATAACGGTGATACTGGTATACATTCCCACCAACAGTGGTTAGGGTACCTTTTTCTCCCACATCCTTGCCAACATTTATTATTTTTTGATTTTTGGATGATAGTCATTCTAACTGGGGTGAGGGGAAACCTTAATATGGTTATTATTGGCATTTCCCTGAAGATTGCTGACACTGAGCATTTTTTTTTCATGTTTCTGTTTTTCTATCTGTATTGTGTTCTTTGAACAATGCCTGTTTGTGTCCTTTGCTCATTTCTTAACTAAATTGCTTGTTTTGTTGTTGCTGAGTTTCTTGAGTTCTTTATAGATCCTGGATATTAATCCTCTATCAGTTGCATAGTTTGCAGATATTTTCTCCAATTCTGTTGGTCATCTCTTCATGTTGTTGAGTGTTTCCTTTGTAGTGCAGAAGCTTCAGAGTTTGATGTAACTGTTTATCTATTGTTGCTTTTACTGACTGTCCTTCCAAGGTCTTTCCCAAGAAGCCTTTGCCTATGCCAAAATCTTACAGAGTTTTCCCAATGTTTTTCTGTAGTAATTTGATGGTATCAGGTCATTCATATAGATCCATGATCCATTTTGAGTTGATTTTTGTATAAGATTTAAGTCAGGAGCCTTGTTTTATACTTCTGAATGCATAGACCCAGTTTTCCCAACAACATTTGTTGAAGTGACTGTCCTTTCTCAAGGGATTTATTTTAGCTTGTTTGTCGAAGATTAGATAGTTATGGATGCATGGATTCATTTCTGGGGCTTCTATTCTGGTCTACATTTCTATTTTTTTACTTTTTTAACTTTTATTTAATAAATATAAATTTCGAAAGTACAACTTTTAGAATATAGCAGCTTTTCCCCCTATAACCTCCCTCCCACCTGCAACCATCCCATCTCCTACTCCCTCTCCCATCCCATTCTTCATCAAGATTCATTTTCAGTTATCTTTATATACAGAAGATCAACTTAGTGCATACTAAGTAAAGATTTCAATAGTTTGCACCCACACAGATATACAAAGTATAAAGTACTGTTTGAGTACTAGTTTTACCATTAATTCGCATAGTACAACACATTAAGGACAGAGATCCTACATAGGGAGTAAGTGCACAGTGACTCCCACTACTGATTTAACAATTGACACTCTTATTTATGGCGTCAGTAATCACCTGAGGCTCTTGTCATGAGTTGCCAAGGCTATGGAAGCCTCTTGAGTTCACAAACTCCCACCTTATTTAGACAAGGCCACAGTCAAAGTGGAAGTTCTCTCCTCACTTCAGAGAAAGGTCCCTCCTTCTTTGATGGCCCATTCTTTGCACTGGTATCTCACTCACAGAGATCTTCAATTTAGGTAATTTTTTTTTTTTTGCCACAGTGTCTTGGCTTTCCATGCCTGAGAAACTCTCATGGGATTTTTAGCTGGATCTGAATGCCTTAAGGGCTGATTCTGAGGCCAGAGTGCTGTTTAGGGCATCTGCCATTCTATGAGTCTGCTGTGTATCCTGCTTCCCATGTTGGATCATTCTCTCTCTTTTTTATCAGTTAGTATTAGGAGACACTAGTCTTGTCACATAAACAACAAAAAGAGTGTTAAGAGGAAGTGTTTAGCAATTGGTGCCTACATCAAGAAATTGGAAAGGAACCAAATAAATGAGCTATCAATGCATCACAAGGATCTAGAAAAACAACAGCAAACCAAACACAAAACTAGTAGAATAAAAGAAATAATTAAAATTAGAGAAGAAATCAACAAGATTGAATCTAAAAAAAAACAATTTAAAGATCAGGAAAATGAGCTGGTTTTTGTTGTATCCTATAAATTTTGATATGTTGTATTGTCATCTTCACTCATTTCCAGAAATTTTTTTATTTTTCTTTTGATTTCTTCAGTGACCCATTTTCATTCAGGAGTATGTTGTTCAATCTCCATGTGTTTTCATATGTTTAGAGCTTCTTGAATTATTGATTTCTAGCTTCATTCTATTGTGCTCAAATAAGATGCACAGTATTATGTCATTTAAAAAAAATTGCTGAGACTTGCTTTATGGCCTATCATGTGGTCTATCCTAGAGAAAGTTCCATGCACTGATAAGAAGAATGTGTATTCTGCAGCTGTAGGAGGGACAGTTTTGTAGGTATCTGTTAGATCCATTTGGGCTACAGTGTTGATTAACTCTGTTGTTGCCTTGCTGATTTTCTGTCTGGTTGATCTGCCCATTGTTGAAAGTAGGATATTGGTTTCCCCATTACAATTGTATTGAAGTCTATGTCTCCCTTTAGATCCACTAACATTTCTTTTAAATAGCCAAGTGCCCTGTAATTAGGAGCATATACATTTATAGTAGTCACATCTTCCTGTTGAACTGATCACTTAATCATTATATACTGAATGATCTTTCTGATGTGATGGTGGATTCTATTTGGTAGTATTTTGTTTAGGATTTTTGTATCTTTTTCATTCAGGATATTGGTCTATAGTTCTCTTTCTTTGTTGTATCCTTTTTGGTTTTGGAATTAAGGTGATAATGGACTCATAGAAGGAGTTTGGGAGGATTCCTTAACTTTCAATTGTTTTAAATAGTTGAGAAGAATTGGAATTGGTTCTTCTTTAAAGGATTGGTAGAATTCAACAGTGAAGCTGCCTGGCCCAAGCTTTTCTTTGTTGAGAGAGTCTTTATTACTGATTTATTCCTCATCTTGGTTATTGTCTATTTAGGTTTTCTGTGTCTTCCTGACTCAATTTTAATAGATTGTACGTGAACAGAAATCTATTCATTTCTTCTACATTTTCCAATTTGTTGGCATACAACTCTTTGTAGTAATTTCTTATGATTCTTTTTATTTCTGTGGTGTCTGTTGTTACATTTCCTTTATCATCTCTGATTTTTTCTTCATTTTCAATTATCTTTATATACAGAAGATCAATTTAGAATATATTAAATGA